TTTCACCTCCTCGAGTCCTAAACGGCGGGCCCTGTCTTTGAAACGCTCGGGCTCCGGTTCTCGTCATAATTTTGAAATAATTTCATTAAAATACTGCAAATCCTGCCATAAACAGGTACCAACAAGTCCAAAATTGGCCCATCCCTGTTCAAAATATTGACCTCTGAAGTTGAGAGCCACAGCCGATAAAATACTAGGTCATAAAATTAACGCAGAGCCCTAGAAAAAGATGTTTTCCTAGAGTGTCGACTCAACAGAAATCCAAATCTGACGCGGCCCCGAAGCTCCCCGGAGTCTCGCTGATGAGGTAGGCGGGAGGCCGGGGCCCCCTTTTAAGCTCCATAGGGATCTGAGGGGGCTGCGGGATGGTGAAATTTGAATTCCTTGAGGTTGACTCCCTATTTGTCCCCGCGTCGTCTCCGACTTCGTCCGACCCGAACCAATCAAGAGGAAAACCTGGTAAGGGTGTGCTGGGACATCCTGTATATCGATGGTGAAAGTGCAGAAGTGCGTATCTCGGAAAACACGATTTTTCAGGAGAGTAAAAAAACTGTCTATATTCCTCTTTATTGTTAGTAGAAGGGTAATTGGTAATAATTCTTGAGGATAGCATGAACAAGAGCAAAAAGGACACGCATGTGTCGCAGGGACGGATTTACCTACTTGCCGCCCATGGGCCGCCCATATTTTGCCGCCCCCTTCTCATTCGTTTTGAAACATCAATAAAAACCATCAAGTGAACGTGCCGGAGGCGGAGAGGTGCCTAAGACACGTTTACTCGTGCTGGGCACATTTTTTGCGAAAGTCTTGTCAACACTAGGTACTAGCAAAAGTTGACGGAACTTTGCGCTAAAGTTAAGTTGCGTAAACTTATCTCTGTGTGGACAAGGCTTCCATTTATTACAAGAAGTGAACGAAAAATTATGAAAGAACAAACATAAATGAGGTTTAATGATTTTAACTTCCCCGCCGCGCCGCGCTTGGTGCAATCCGTGAAGTATTCCTTCAGTCTTGTAGGCGCTACGCGTTTCACGCCGCGCCGACCGCTGCTGAACGCACTGTGTTTGACGCAGTGCATGAAGTATTCCGACAGTCTTGTAGGCGCTAATATGTGTTACATGCCGACCGCGCACCGACGGCCGAGAGCTTCTCCTTTTCATCTCAAGTCCCCGTCATTGCTCTCTACGCCGCGCCGCTCCAGGACAAATTGCGTGTTTGACTTCCCTCTTAACTTGACTAATTAAAGGTGATGTATGTCTCTTGTATCACCGATAGAAAACAAAATTAGAAAATACTATACTCTCAAGGAATGAGCGATTTTGTCACCTTTTCTCGCTTGTAATTTTTTTTCTGAAACCGATTCTTGTTTTTATACCTACATTTGAAAAAATTGCAAAATTTGAACCCCCTAAATCCGGCCCTGATGAATAGGATGCTTTTTCAGACTCCATCAGCATTTTGAATAATTTCTCGAACTGTTAGAAAATACGGCAGAAATACCGAGATTCGGATTTTTGGCATAAAGAAATGACACTTTATCACGAGATACGCATTTTTGCAATCGCAGTGTTTTAAACCTGTTGTCGGCGAGTTTTGATAATTTAAAGACTGAAAAAAGAGTTTTACGCTTAAAATTCCTTATCAGCAGCTTTAGTTTGATCTCATACGGCCGGATCAAGCGTTGTATGATTGGAAAATATGACATTTGATCACGAGATACGCATTTCTGCGATTGCATGGCGTTTTGAACCTGCTCTTGATCATTAAGATCAAAAATAAAGTTTATTCATACTTAAAAGTTGTTCATAAGCGTTAGTTGATCCAATCATGAGTCACCAATAAGTGAATCAGAGAATTGGCTTCCTTGAGTAACTTTTACACCACAGGTAAGAAGACAGGACGGAGTCTCCAGAATATATCATCTCTGCTTGGACTTTCAAAAAATTATACGGGTAATACTTTTTTTTCTATTTTTCCCCCAACACTTTGGCATTATACAGTTAGAAACCTACAGCCATCTATATACGCCATGTAGTGCCCGTAGAAACCCAGAGGACATCCATGCTCTGAGCCTTTCAAATGGACCAGTAGACAAAGTACCTTTTCTCCAATGTTGATTATTATTCACAGTTCATCGACGGAAGCTCATTTTATCCGTGAGAAACTTATTGAATTCACAACCGCGTTTCAGTTGGTTGCGATCTTGTAAACGGCGACTCTCTCAGTTTTACATGAGAATACGATGAAAAAAGCAAGGAGACTTAAAAACCACAATCTGAACCGAGTGTTTGGGCTCTCTTTTTTGAAATAAGACTTACAGACAATAAAAATCTTATAACGCAAAATAATGTTCTTCGGGCATTTTTCAAAATTACGGCTCGATGGAAGACTCCAAACTTAAGAATATTTTTGCCAAACATCATTGTACAGGGCCACTCAGATAAGACACAGAAGAGCGCCTTCAACCCACTGCGTAATCTCAATGCAAAATTCTGATACCACTATTCGTGCGTCACGACAGTCATTTTGCATAGCCAGCTAATTGAAGGCGAATCATTGGCCCTAGCAACAGTGTATGAATTTCGGCAATTTGATACGTGTTTTTTCGGGAGCAAAACTTCCGAGGGTGCCCCACCTGGCAACCAAGAAGCCGAACCCCTGGGGCCGCCATATCTGGCAACCAAGAAGACCAACCCCCCAGGGGTGCCCCACCTGGCAACCAAGAAGCCCTACCCCGGGGGTGCTCCACCTGGCAACCAAGGAGCTATCACCGCGGGGGCTGTCCTTTTGGTTCTTTTTTGGCGTGTGTGAGGGAGGAGGAGGGGGGAGGGCTGGAGCCATATTATCCGATAACAGGGTGGCAAAATTTCGTGAAAAATAAAATCTTGAAATTTCACGTGAAATATTTCATGAATTTTCAGAAATTTATGAAACGTATTGAAAAATTCCAGTTCCTTTTCATGTTTCCTATAATGTAAAAATTGTGACTTTCTTCTATTTCTGTGTGTTTGAGTGCTGGTCGCATACTATATCCCCTGAAAAATATGAAATATTTCACAGCCTCTAGAAATTTCATGAAATATTTCACTGAAATTTCCAATCTTTCATTTTTTTCTTACATTTCATGCCACCCTTTCTGGCAAATCTTGCAAATTGAAAGTGCAAATAGGTGTTAGCGAGGGACAGCCTAAGTCCTCTCCTCAAGAATTGTTGGATTTGGAGCTATTGACATATGAACTACGCTGCCCTGTCAAAAAAGAACACAGGGGAAAATGCCAATGTTTGTCACTAACCTTAGAACTGCAAGGAAAGCCCGTTTGAAAAATGCTAATTTGACAAGTTTGGAACAATATTTTTGGCAGGCTCCGATGACGGGGCCGGGCGGGGAAATGATGTTTGCTGATGATAGATAGGGACTTGGTGCATCAGCATATATCGCTTAGTTGTATTCATGATCTCCGTCGAATACTTGATTTTTGGAGTGTCTCACTTACTCATTGGAATATGTAAGTGAATATTTTTCTTTACAGCTGCAGATGCACTTTTAACCTATCCTCAATGTTTTGTTTTCTTCCGACACTGTAAATCGGCGGAAAGATTGTATTACCTCAAAATTTCAGTCTGGTGACGTCACCAAAATGACTGTTCCTTAAATTCTAGGTTTCCAAATAGGCACCTGCGTGATTTTGTAGGTTACTAGTTATGAGAATTATATGTACACAGAAACTGTCTACGTTTTTAGAATGGATTTATAATGAGCTTTTATCACAAAGTTGGATAGAAGGTGAACATTACATGACTGTCAGTCATGTGATGTCACCAGAATGAAATCTCTAGTGACCAGAATGACATATCTTTAATACAGTCATTGTTTAATAGTTCCTGATTTAAGAAAATGTGTTCTTGAATATTTAAGATTAAGTTTAAATTATGACAACTTGTACCTAGTGACTCATGTTAGTGACTGCATGTCATTCTGGTTATGCGATGTCAGTCTGGTGATGCTCACTTTTTAACCAATTTTTCGATAACATCGTGTTATAGCACATTCTAAAACTTTAGACCAATTGTGTACAAAGTTCTCTCAACAAATAACAGTTTTAGAACAGTATGCATTTAGTGCTTTCAATCAGTACAGTACATAGGAAGATCAAAACTCAACTGAACTAATGATTTTAACACTAAAACAGTAAGCGGCACCAGAATGACATTAATGGTAGTTTTTCTGAATCTAAAGTCTCATTTCTATCCATAACCGTAAAGATATTGCTTTGCTTGACATTGTGTCCTATAAGATAGAGCTCCAAGATAATAGAAAAGTAGTCTTTCGCATGATATGGCCAAATTAATTTTCAACTATTTCCAGAACTATTTTCTCCCATTAGTTGAAATCCACCCATTGATGTCTGTCAATCATGGTGTCAGTCTTTGAGTTTACTAATCAAATTACCAATAACTTGGATTTGCACAAGTTCTGCTGTGAGTAAGGCATTCAAGGCAATTGTATCCTAGAATGAGCATTCCTACTGAATTTTTTGGTGGAAAAACCATTGAGAACCCTAAAAAATCGTAATCATCAGTGCAACAGTAGGCATAGCAACATCTAAAAGATAAAAATCGGATTGAGGCGCACTAAACAAGATGTCAAATTTTTGGTAGTACAGATTTTTAATGCATGTACATACTTAGAGGCTCTTATGTATAAATTAAGTAAATACATGAATAAAGCAGACTCCTGAGTTAAAAACTTCATTGAAGGACAAAAAAAAATAACTTTAAAATTTACTTTAAATTAACTTTTTTTTAACTTATATGAAATAAAGAGCTCTTTGTTAACTTAAAAGGACAACAAATAATTAAAAAATGGGGGAGAAAAAGAAGATATTAAGCTAGGTTAAAAATATGGTTAAGTTGCACCCATGTTGTGAGTGAGAAGTTAGATTCCTCAAGGTTATGAGTAATTAAGATTGTTTGTTAGATGCTTTGGCAGCCTGTCTCCTTTTGACATCCCAGTTGAATACGCGCGCCATGTTCACCTCAGTCGTTGTAAACTGATCCCTGAAACACAAAAAGACACGCAATATTTCATGAAAAAAGAGAGATTCTTTACTACAGACCACTTGTTTGTAATTGTACCTGAAATATTGTTAGCTGATGCTTGGTCTTAGCTCAAGCAATTTCTTATCACAGTGGAATCTCAATGAATCGGAAAAAAAGATGAAGTCAGTTTTCCGTATAAGTTGGGACCTCTATTTTTGCTTACGTCAAAAATTTACAAATCTGGGACACTATTTTTGGTCCTGTCATCAAGTAACTAGTGTTAAATCGGACAAAAATAAGGAGTTGCCATAAGCACCTTTATAAAAATCAAGGATTTTAAAGCCCTATAAAATAAATGTCAAAGTCAAGCACTTTTTAAACTCTTTTCAAAGCTTTACGGACCATGTTGTATGAGGCTCTTCTTCCTTTGACTAACCTTGAATAAAGCTCCATTTGAAGTATTAGATTCCTCCTGGCAGTACAGTAAAGTTACTTTTTACTTTTCTTCTTTTGTCTATCAGATAGGCCTGTCTCCTCTTCCCTTCCTAATGGCATTTTGGTAGAGACATTCAGCAGCCTCTCTCAACAACTCTCTTTGTAAGTCTTTATTGTGAGGTATTTTTTTTTGTTTGCATCAAAATTTTCTTTTTTTTTTTTGCCTTAACATTGATTTATTCAGTTATATCTTAAGTTAGCATTTAAAACTCAAGCAACTTACTTTCTTTATTAAAAAGTTCAGACTTACTCTCTTCAGAAAGTTCAGACTCACTCTCTTTAGAGGCTCCAAGTAGCCTGATATCATAGTTTTTCAAAAATAGTAACAATGATTTGTCGATGTCGATGTATCAATCAAATTTTTGTCGGTTTTTTTTATGTTGATCAAATGACAGGTCAAATGTGTGAGTCCCAATAGTCTTGGTTTTTTTATGAATCAGTTTTTCGCAAAATCAAATTGTTCCCAGAGAGGCTAATTCATGGAGGAAAACTTGTGTTTTGCAATGAGGACTTATGTGATAGAGAGAACGCAGATTAAGGTGATTCGTCAAGCTCTCTGATGTGGTTGAACTAGCATACGACTAATCGCATCAATTGGTTAAAAAATCTCGGCAAAATTTAAACTTTTAGACAAAACAAGGACGATAACCCCTGAGTATGAACTTAGAGAATCATTCTAAACCAAAAAATTGGCCAAATGCAGAGAAATGAAAACAGAATCTTATTTGGAAAAAAACCTCGCATTCAGTGCAGAGATCAATAATTGCATCAAATGCGAGGTTTTTCCCAAACGATATTCTGCTTTCATTTCTCTAAATTTTTTCAATTTTTTGGTTTAGAACAATTCTCTAGGCTCATACACAGAGGCTGATGTCCTTTTTGGGCTAAAAATGCAAAATCTGCTCAGATTTTTGACATAATTGGTGCGATATATCGCAAGCCAGTTCGATCACATCAGAAATCTTGACAAATCACCTTATGAGTTAAAAGAAATTTCTTACATTTGCCAATATCTCTAACTGAGAAAGTCTTATAATGTACTGCTATTATTATGTGGAGTTTGGAAATTGAAGACATGATATTACATGAGAAATGTTGAGGTAATGTGGGAAAATCATCAACATACATACCTTAAAAATACTAAACTTTCATCGATGTGATGCAGATTTGTTTTAGCTGATTCTATGTTCTTCAATAATGTAGCAATAGCATCCTCTAAAGTATACTCTAACATTACATTTGCCTGCATGGACAGAGAGAAAATGTGTAAGTATTAAAAACAAATTCCCTTTGCCAGGATGAAAAGATAAGGTTAATTTCTGCTAATCTTAGAAAATTTAGTGGTAAATATTAGCACCTGCCATTTTTACCCTTCTCTTGTTCAAATTTTCAATGGGATTGTTGAATGAATCAGCATTAGCCTTGAAACAGGGTGTTACTGGCTTAAATTTCAGCAAGAAACCAATTTCTGGACTTAAAACAGCTCAAAACAACGTTTCTGATTGGAAAACCAATTCTTAAGTTATGAAAACAATAAGAGCGTTTCTCATTAACCTGAAGCTTCCAAGATACAACAACCCATAGTTTCAACCGGTGTGAATCTAATGTAACAATGCTTCCAGACGATTCACATAACAGATAAACAATATCATTAAGAAAAAACGGCGAAAACATTTACTCCAAGTAGGAATGATACTGCGAGCAAATTTGGAGTACATAACCTTCAGTTAGAATTGCAAGTGAAAAGAAAATAACCAAACATGAGGGAAGGATATGTGTCAATTAATAATTTTTGTGAACGCATGGCATTCTTTTTATGGCACCAGGGCATTCTAATTTAAATAAAATTAGATTTTTGACGACTTTGAGAGTAATATTCTTAGCTAACATTTGACTGAATGAAAGACAGAAAAATGCAGACATTCTCATATTAATGCACTTTCCAAAAATGAACTTAAAAAATTGTGCAACTGCCCCATTGTTGTCATCTATTTCTGGGCAAGGCGGTTTTGGCACCTAATGACTGAAAACAATACATAGGCCTTGGTTGCCATGCTTCAGTCGTTTCCCTATGTTTGTGAAGTCTCAAATCTTGTAATGTAAATCTTGATCGTAGTCTCAAATGCCGAAGATCCTCTTTTTGCCATCACACAATGTGGCATCAGTTTCACTTTTTGTTCATCATTCTCTTCAACTTCAAATAAATCCACACCAATTCTAGCCTCTTTTTTTTGCATTGCACTGATCTCATTCTTAGACTACACATCCCATAGAATGGTGCCAAAACTCAGCTAATACTGTAGCCTTGATATGCTAAATATGACCAAAACTGCCAATGTTATTTTCATGGTAAATAAAGAATATTGCAGTTCAGATTTACCTGGAAATCTTTCTGGATGCAAAAAAAAAAAAAAAAAAAAAATCGAAATTCAGTAAAAAATAAATCTATAGAATGATACATATTTTGTTCATGAGAAGCACCTTAGAAAACTACAAAAGCCATTTAAAAAAAAGTACTCACTCCTAGCCAGAGGCAGACTTTTTTACTTGGAGGCACAGATGCCCTCATATAAACTTGTTCAGAAAGAAGAAAATGTGTGTCGATATCTGATTCACTAGACTGCTGCTTCTGAAGCATTTGGATAATCTTCAGTGATTTCTCCAGATCTGGGATTTGGAATTTCAATCTAAAAAAAAAAAAAAAAAGGTAAGTAAGTTAACAAATTAAAGGAATAACTAAAACCTTTCCCTATGAAAAAATTAACCTATAGCTCTTGGCTGATGATAGTTTCAATATACAGTGCTCTCTCGCTATAACAAATCAGCAGGGGACCGGGCGATTCCTTAGCAAAAGAGAGATTTTCATTATAATGAGAGTCATTGAGGCGAGAAAATCATTCAAAGGACTGGGCGATTCCTTCTCAAAAGAGAGGTTTTTGTTATAATGAGTGTCATTGAGGCGAGAAAATCATTCAAAGGACTGGGCGATTCCTTCTCAAAAGAGAGGTTTTTGTTATAATGAGTGTCGTAATAGCGAGAGAATACTGTACAATGTTTTACCTGTTAATCTTCACCATTCTTTCCATACTTCTTAGACAAATTGTTTACTTTAAAAGGAGGGACATAATTGAATTGAAAATAATCTAGATTCTGATTTTAAAACATATGAATCAGTTCTTTCAAAAAGGACAGAAGTCTATTTTCTATATTTTGTTTGCTTTCTGAACCCTCCAGTTGTCCTTACCATATTACCCGAGAAAGCAGGGGTAATCTGCTTCTTGGGTCGCAAGTAACAGGCGCACAGGAAAGCGAATTTCACATAAAAGAGCAATAAAAATGCAAAAAAAAAAAATGCAAGTTTGAAAAATTGGACTTCCGGTAAAAAAAAAAAGTTCCAACTTCCATCAAGTTAAAACCGAGCAAGTGAGGCTTGAAATTATATTCCTCCATAAGATTCAATTTTGAGCTGAAGTTAAGCTTATACCTTAGCATTCAAGATATTATATCTTAAAATTAAAAATTTTACCAGGAAGAAATTGTACGGTTTGTGGATTCTGATCAATCATCTCTTTCTACTTAAATTGATTTAACTGTAGATTACTTAGAGAAACCTTGTGTCTCACAAGGGGAGGCTACCGATTGTCCCCCTCAGATCGGGTTCAAATTTGGCAGAGAGGTAGAATAGGTTAATATAAGAACCCGTATTTTTTTTAGGTGCCAATGCCCAGCCGTTTTTGAGTTATGAATTTTTGAAGTTGCCGTTTTTTTCGTGTCAGCGACGCGCTCAAGTTGAGCCTACTGTGCGCGCACCTTTTAATGCGATCCGAATGTCGTGCCATTCATGTGAGACAGTTGTCCAAGCAGTAGCGCGCTCGTCTATGGTGCTGCAAGTTCGGAGTTCGATACTCATTCCGTGAATTTAATTTTTAAAATTGATTATTTTGTTTTTTAATTGCTTTATCACAAGAAATTGTAAGTCACCTTGTAGACGTTGTGATGCTAATTATATTTTTTTCCTTTGTTGTCAAACTTTCATTAAAAAAATTAAAAAATGAAAAATAAAATATACATAAAAAATAATTAGAATCATAACGTCTACAAGGTGACTTACAATTTCTTGTGATGAAGCGATTAAAAAACAAAATAATCAATTTTAAAAATTAAATTCGCGGAATAAGTATCGAACTCCGAACCTGCAGCACCATAGACGAGCGCACTACCGCTTGGACAACTGTCTCACATGAACGGTATGACATTCGGATTGCATTAAAAGGTGCGCGCACAGTGGGCTCAACTTGAGCGCGTCGCTGACACGAAAAAACGGCAACTTCAAAAATTCATAACTCAAAAACGGCTGGGCATTGGCACCTAAAAAAAAAATATGAGTTCTTATATTAACCTATTCTACCTCTGTGCCAAATTTGAACTCAATCTGAGGGGGACAATCGGTAGCCTCCCCTTGTCAGTATAGAGCTTTGCATTTCAATCACATATTACTATGATGGAGGAAAACCACTCAAAAGAAGGGGTTTCAATTGGCAAAAATTAGCTCCACCCCACACTACTAGGGCTCCAGTTTCTTTGACAGAATAAGGTTTATGTTAAATAAGAATGGTAGATTTAATTTGTTATGAAATCCTTTCAGTGAGATATATTGCTATAAACATGAGACTGAGATACAAAAATGGCCATTTATCATGGTTTTACAGTTCATTGTTGTCTAAGGACCAGAACGCAAGCTAATATCAGGCTGCAATTTGGATATTTTTTTGTAGAATAAAATAGACAAATCATCATATAATCTCACTGATACCCCTTGTGTAAAAGCAATATCGAACTTGGAAAAAACGTTAAGTATTGCCACTCTCAGCTTTCAAATCCATGTTTTTGGACAAGAGCTTCACTGAAGTGATTTGATAACCCGCTAAAACCGATTATTGATCCTGATCTGTCAAAAATTCTAGAATTACGAAACCCAGGATATGAACTTTTGCCTTTCAAAAACCTCTCTTCTGGAGATTTAAACCCTCTCTTTCTTCCCCAGCTAAAAATATTTTCTAAAATTTAATGTAAAAATATTTGTTTTCTTAAATGGGAAGGAAAATTCCTTCAGTAAAAACAAGAAAGTAATAATGGAATAAATGAGTATCAGAGCAAATATTTTGTGACATCAAAATTGGATGATTTAGTTTCATCATGAAAATTTAGCAACTTGAAAATTCTGTAGAACTTAAAACTTTGAACATTTGATAATAATTATGGGATAGTCTCACCTATTCCTCTTGCCTAGAAGATTACACTCCAGTGATAAATACTGTGTTCTCTGATCGCCTAGCAAATTCAAAGCAGTTTCAACACTGCCATTGTTTTCAGGAAGCTCTAAAAATTTATCAACATCGTCCTGGAAAAAAAAAAAAATATGTATATATAAACATGAGGAAACAAGTGAATTTAAAAATGGTGATGGGAATTGATGAATTTTGTTGAGGCCTTGCCTCTACAGGCAATTCTTGCGTGATTTATCAGAACATGAAATTAAGCAAAAGAAACTCGGATAATTTTTCATCATTACCTACCGTCTCCATAGGGCAGGGATCTCACATTGCTGCAACATAACACATTAAGTAAAAATACTTCAGTACAGTGAAAGCAAGGTTGAGGCTATTGAATCAAGACAAAATAAGTGTCCTAAAGATATGTCCAGATGAAGGTCCAGGAATAACCACAGATAAAACAAGAGTTGCCATTTAAATTGCTGGCTGAGCGGCACCCCCTACTTTTACAAGTCGTCTCTGATTGGCCAACTACCTGTTAACACCTAACGATTGGGTTAGTAGAATGCACAGGTAACTATTTGCATGGTTTCATTGTGAACTTAGATTAATACATTTCCAAAGACTGGAAGATTCTCAACGTTGGATGGTCCCAACCTGATTCCGTTTCCCTTGCCGTTATTATCCACTGTAGAATTTCAGTATGCAATTTTCAAAAACCTTCTCACTGGCATGAGCCCTGTTACAAACTAACTCACCAATTATGAGTGAAGGGTGCTTTTCAAGACATATTTGATTTAATCTGTTCATGTAACACATTGTTCTTTCAGATTATAGCATAAACAATTGAATTTAAGGTGAACAATACTCTGAACATATGATTTCAGTAAATACATAGTTACTAGTAGACTCACAGCATTTCTGAGCCCTTGAGACTTAATACCTAAGCGTGAGTTATCGCCAGCTGCTACACAGAAGTCTTTGAAGTTTACATTGGTAAAGTGACATGAGGAGCGCGCCAATGCTGGCGCAACTCCAATGTATTCAAGCGTAATTCTACAGAACCCCTCAAGCAATGAACAATGACCCTAGTTCAGACAAGAGTAAGCTAACTGACGATGAGAATGCTGCTGTACAATTAAATAAGTTCACACATCCACTTGATATCTACCAAGTAAAACCTTATGAGACTGACGAGTCAAGAGTTTTACTCACCACAAATTTTGCCTGCGGAATTTTCGTGCGGATGCTAGCTGTGTCCAATTCAGAATCAGATTTTTGGTCCCCCATGTTGCGAAGCGCTGGACGTGAAGAGAAAAACGAGACAAAAATCCTCAGAAGGAAAGGAATCCGGTATCAGCCATGTACAAAAAGCTCTGATAATTGAGGTTAGGAATTATGTTTAGAGCAAGCACAGAGAAGAAGAGAAGCCGAATATATCCATCCATGCCGAAAGCCAGAGAGAGCTAGCTCTTCTTAGCTCTTCTCCTTGGCAGGGGGGCAGGGGGAATGGATCCTATCGGCGAGACGATAGGCAACCCTGGCAACCCAGATTGCATGTTGAAGTTACATTGAAGTTACTCTATTGTACTGATTAAGTATGTTTATGTTTACATGTGTACGTGAACCACGTGGGGATCTCAAGAACGGTTTGGCGTGTAGTGATCATTTTCAAGGTGATATTCTTGCTGTTTATTTTAATTTTTCGTAAGCGTAGTTTCGGTAGTTGAAATGAGTGATATTTTGTGATCGGTGGTGTGTACAATTCGTGAAAATGATTTTGTTGCGTCAAAGGATACTCACCAATGCTCACATAGGTAGAATCAGTAGAATCGTGAGAGGACTGAAATGCTCAAGAATAATTGCGAGGAAACGCACGGAAGACGCTGACATTTTTCAGGTAATTACCCAAATTTAGTTCGAAATTACCCCCACAACTGTCAGCATTGGAAAGTGGCAGAGTTTCCGAAAGTTACAAAACCTCAACGAAACTGCAGCTAATCAGTGTGATGTGGCCCCAAAACTTTAAGTAATAGTGTCCACAACTGTCCTGGAATGTGCTGCAGGAAAAAACTGCGGTTGTATTTCAGTCAAAAGAATCAGAGGCCTGTTCCTGAGAATTGATGAATTGGAACTACACAATGCGCATGTCTATGGTAAACTATGAAGGAAGAGGAATACCCCAAGTTTTAGTTGTGAAGTAGGTACAGTTGCATGTTGTATGTCCTCTCACACTGAGCAGGTAACTCATTGTCAGTTTGATGATGGAAAGCTTGTCAAGCATACTCCTAGCTCCGAAATAACCCCAAGATTTTGAAAATTGGTCGAGGAGCTTGTGAGAGAACTTGACAACCTGCTGCTGCTGCATGCATGCTTACGACCTAGTGTACTCACTAATAAAGGCATTGAAGTTCTCAAATTCTTTGTTCAAATGGTATTGCAAGGTTCATTCCTCTTGATTTACACATCTTCTGCTGCAGTTTCCTCATTGGTTTGACACTTTGGATTGATTGGTTTCTTGTGAAATCCAATTTATTGCTGAAATCTCATCATGGGAGTGATTTTAGCACCTCTCTGTTAGACTGCATACTCTGCATGGCACCTTAAAAATTGGGTTTACAACCACCCAAGTAGCACAGATTGCAATAAGTAGCAATTACCTACATTGTAAAACTGCATTTCCACTGAGTGTTGTGTATGTTGCCTAGCTCCTATTTGAAGGGGCTCAATTTATTGAAACTAATTGCAATGAAATTGAAATAAGTTGCAATTTATATTGCAATAAGTTTCAGTAAATGGGGCCCCTTCAAATAGGAGCTAGGCAACATACACAACACTTAGTTGAATAGCAATATTTACTTATGTATTTACTACATATTGCAATCTGTGCTACTTGGGGCCCCTTTGGCGGCCACATCTTCATAGCTAAACTCAAAAAATGCGTTTTCCAGTTTGCAACGAAAAGTGAAAAATGCATTTTTCAGTTTGCGACGAAAAGTCTCCGATCATGTTTTATTTTTTGAGTGAATATCAACCAACATACTTATAATCATGTATTCTAAGTAAATCATAGAAAACTTCAAGGAACTATTTTGGTTAGTAATCCTTGCAGAGAATAAAACATATAATCTGAGGTTTTTAAAACGCTTAAAGTGAGATACATCTTTTTTGCATTTAGCCATCGATACATGACGAGCAGAAATTGAAAACCTGGTGAGCGTCATCAGGTTATTGCTAAAATATGCATGTCGCTACTCAGCGTAAAAGATCCTATGCCCCGTCTTCATGAAGAAATTTTCTCTAAATTTGGTTTATTAGAAACTTAGAACATTAAGTATAGCAACACCTGATAACACTTACAAGATTTTGAATTTCTGCTCTGAATATAAAAAAAAAAAATTCACACTTCTACAGCTTCGTGTTGCTCTCACCTGAAAATTTCAGTTTCGCACGGTTCAATAAAATGATTCTCAGGTTTTGACGTTACTTATTTATGTTTTTCATGTGTACAGCTAGAAACTAGAAAGCGCAACTTGAAAAGGAATGGGGAAACAACTTTTGAAAAGCTCATTTCCACACCACCTTAGGAGAGTCCGATCAGGAAAATGATACGGTACTGCTCCTGGAGGTAGAGCTTTCGGCGCGCTTTTTTTAACGTGGTGTCGCCATGAGCTCTAATCCACGGGGGAGGGGGAGTGGGGGGGACAAAATAGCATACTTACCAACGCTGACGCAGCTCCAGCTTCCTCTGCTCCATGCCGTTTTTGATTCTGCTAAAAAGCAGCTCTGCTCGTGAGACGGAAGTAGTGCCCACTAAAACTGATTAACGATTATAACCCTTATCTAGCAATGAGGC